TCAGTACTAAATAATGTGTCGTGTTTGGTTTTTTTACCAGCAGCAGAAAATCATCGATCCACTTTCCTAGGTCTGCCAGCTCCAGTTGTCCTACCCATGGATGGTCATGTGACTGGTTGATTGGCAGCGTGTGTGAGATGGCAGTAACTGCTGGACTAAGCACCATAAACGGAACACAGAGCCACTGAAAGAGTGAAAAATAAACCCCCAGTAAATTCAGTTTTTTTTTTTCAAATGAGTGCACCAATCTTTAAATCTCCAGTCCTACATTATCCTTTTGTTATTCCACAGATTATACTCCCATTTAGTTTGCCTTTTTATCTCAATTCATGTCTATAATTCTTACCAGGCTTATAAAGACAAAACAAAGTTGGATGATATCCGTGTATGCAACTGAGTAGAGGCCCCCCAGAAATGTGTAGACAATAGACACAGCTGCTGAGATGATGATGGAGATGGTGGAAGATAACCCAAGAATTATACTCATTGTTCCACCTGAAAAACAAAATAAATAATATTAACTCATGATGTCTATATCCATTAGTATTGTTTTTTTTATAATAGGTCTTTACCCTTAGAACTCTCAGAAATATATATATTTATAGACTGTAACAGCAATAACAGCATTGGGAAATAATGTTAGTCAATTTATTAAAGAAAATGTGTTATTAAAATAAAATGATGGAAATGAAATACTATCCTAGGAGGGATGAGAGAAAGCTTATTTACCAAGAGCAGCAAGGATGCAGGCAACCCATAATATGTCACTGATGAGAGCAGGAAGCAGGAGGGTCACAGTGAATGCTCTGCCATAGCGTTTTTCGAAGGGATCCAACATTGTCACATAACGCTTTGACCTCATTTGTTTTGCAAAAAACAGTCCACCTAAGACCAGATAAAGAGACAACATTAAATTCTAATGATTATTTATCATTTTAACGTAAGCTCTGTATCAGGGTCCTTATCAGTGTGAGTCTTTTTAAAATGACAGTTCTATGAGGCATTCTTTTAAAAAGATAGGTAGCCTAGACAAAACAGGTATATTACAGAGGTGTCAAGTAACAAAGTAAAAAAAATTTTGTAATGGTACTTAAGTACACTTTTTAGTTATCTATACTTTACTCCATAACTTATTTTTCTTCCTACTTCAGACTTCTACTCATTACATTTTCACACAAGTATCTGTAATTTCTGGTCCTTACGTTTTTTTAATCAAATGTTAGTCGTTACTCTTGGCTTCGATTTAATATTTATAAATATTTATTTCAGGTCATGTGCTCCATCCAATGCAGATCATTGGTGCCATCCATATCTAGTAAAAACTAGTGTAATTGGATGAGTCATACAACGCTAACACTCATTGGTTAGATAAAGGAAATCATCAGAAGCAAGCAGGTTTTCTTCTTCGTGAATTGTCTATGCCGTGCTACAATGTCGGAATTAGAAAAAGGTGTTGAAATGTCTAAAAGGTCGGACACAGGCGAGAGCGTATCGGGGGACGGAGACCAACAAGACCTCCCTCATCCTTGGCCCTTCTTAAAGAATTATTTGAAATAGTCGAAAAATTTAGCTTTCAATTCATATAGTGGCATCTGGCTGTTTTTTTTTTTTAAATGTTACTTTATACTTTTATACTTTAAGTAGTTTTTTGGAGCACATACTTTTACACTTTTTTTTACTTGAGGAAAGAGGTCAAGTTGATACTTCAACTTTTACCAGAGTGTTTTTAAACTGCAGTATCTATACTTCTACTTAAGTAGCAAATGTGTGTAAATTTGACACCACTGGTCTATTACCAAAGAGTGGTAAGTAAGAAAGAAATTCCTCCATAGCTGCATATTTCTGATGCTATATAAACAAACTTGAGCAAATACAGACCCACTACCATATGCTTAATGTTTTGATTTAGTGTACAACATGTAACTTAAAGGGTATCTCTGCTACTCGAAACTGAACAAAACTAAATCATATCTGTAACAAAAAGGGATTGCACTAGCATTAAAATATAAATAAATGTTCAAAAATATTCTAATATACAAATTAACTATTAGATGTACAATTTTGTCTCTTCTAATAATGTTAAATATTTGTATTAAAAAAAAAGCTTTTTTCAGATGCAAGGTTGAGGCATCAGCTGTGTACATTTCAAGTGAAGCTGTTATTCGTGATGTAATCGTGAAAGAGTCATTAGATAAGTCAGAATTTTGAGATTCAACTATTTTCTGATTTCTCATGTGATCAGTCTGTTTAGCACCCTTCCAACGTATTACTGTTTTTACTTCCTGAAAAGAATTTTTGGTGACATTTTGCTTTGTGCATGGAAAACACAAAGAACATTATTTGACCTGATACAAAAACAAACTTACCCATAAAAAAACTCAGAGCATACGCAGGGGGGCCGAGAGCCCAGACAAGGCCTTGAGTGGGTGAATAAACAGACTCAGCAGTTCCCATAATGTAACCTCCGCCAACCCATGTGGCTTGAATGAAAGCAAAGAAAAAATATGGAATAAAGAGCACTTCAAGCATAGACGAAAGTCATGCTTTCACATTAAAAATCTAAGCTTTTCACCTGTCATTGTGAAAATCCCAACCAGGGTACTGATGTTGCGGCCACCAACGATGGAGATCTCACTTTTTGGGCCATCACATCTCTTCTCCACTTTTCTGGATTTATAGGACCCCCACACTCCAATGGCCAGGATGCAAACATAAAAAACAATTACAGAGACCAGTCCAGGGACATCTACTGCCATGACGATCCTGGTAAACAGAGAGAGATATAAAGTCCATAATATGCACAAGTCATTTTTTTTTTTTGTTTGTTTGTTTTTAAGTAGTACCTGAACCCCACAGAAAACCCAAAAGTTTTAGTTCTGGAGCTACATACTTTTGTCAGTTTTAATTTAATTGTCTTTAATGGAAGGGTATGTACACCTTCAAGCATGACTGTATAATACTGTCCTGATGGGACTAATTTCTTGCCCACATGCAGAAACACTCAGAGATAATAAAGTTAGATTTTTTAGTTAAGCAAAAACAGAAATCGGGTTGTCTCAGCTTGGTGGGACCTGCGGTCAGAAAGGGTTAGGGTTAGGGTAGCCATCTATGTTAGGAGAGAAAAAACAACTTTAAACAGAGGTGGTGGACTCAGATTCCAGGTTCCAAAAAACTTACAATTCACTTATAGAGATGATCCCTTCCAGGTATCACCACAACGCCCACCCCATCACAGATGAACAAAGTACCTCCTCTCTTCAGCCAGGTCCTGTGATTGTAAAGGGTCCCAGGACCCTTTACAATCACAGACAGGTTTCAGGTATTACAGGAGACAATCCCCCCTTTAACGACAATCCCCCCTTTAATGACCGATCTTCCCAATCATAGACAGCTTTCAGATATTACAGGCTAACAATGGAACCAAACAACCCACTTGTCGGTGTTGTGGGAAAAAAGTCTTCAACTATTCATCCTAGTTAAATAAACGGAGATCGATGGATTTCACTCAGTCAGTACATTTATTCATATCTTTGCAAAGAGAGAACAGTCATCATGAAGCCCTTATGGCACAGCATTCTGCTCTGTTCTGCTAGAGCAAGGTTCACCCCCCCTTACTTAGAACACTGCAAAAGTAGTCAAAGTCAAAAAAAAAATTACAGACCCTTTGGTTAACAGTAACATGTTATGAATAAACCTTGAGAAACAATTTAGTTTGTTATGGGAAGAAGCTATGTCTGGTCTACAAACACCATCCTGCAGAGAATTGTGTGGCCTTGAGAGA